AGTATTTGAAAAAAAAAAAAAAAGCAATTTCCAGAGTTCAGAGACCCACCACCACACAATTCTTACACTCATGTTTATGAAAAAATAAAAGGTGTAATTATATAAGCCGATAAGGCTGCGATTATATAAGTCGACAATGCTTCAAATATGTTGAATAACTAGTTAGAACAAGCCATTGCCTACCTAGGGAGTAAAATTTCTTGTGAAATTATGGAATCACAAGGTTGAGAATCCCACCATAACAACTCATAAGCCTGAAATAAAAAGTGAACATCAACCACCAATACGAATATAAAATTTTATTGCATTCATGTATTCTAAAAAAAATATATGCTTTTTTGTCAAAGCATTGGATTGAAATTATCAACATGTAGGCCATTTATTTTAAATAATTTAGGCTATGTTGTCAACACGAATAATGAATAAATAATTGATACAAAAAAGTAGCACAAAATGGATTGAAATTAATGACAGAATGATAACATTCAGCCAAAGATAAAGATTTAGTCTATTTATTCCAATGAATTTCATTGAATATATCTATACCCGTCCCTTCCTTGTGTGTGGCACTCATTAATATACCACTCCCTACAAGCTCAAGCTCGAAGAAATTGTTACTACCATTCCTACAATTAGTATGTTCTTTCATTTACTTATTGGCCATTTGAATATGTTTCTGTTCAGTTGTCCTATTCTTTGATACCTAGTTGAATGTTCTGCTCTTATTTGCTTGTATTAAGGTTTCCTCTGGCTTCCATTTTCCCACTTGAATTCCATTCGATAGTGTGCATGTAATTATCTATGTGATCATGAGTGAGTGCAACACACCCACACAGAGAGATGACATATAATAATAACATTTGAGGGTGGGGAAGAACAAAAAATATAAGTTCCCATTTTTCTGGTCATATAGGTAGGCAATTAAGAATTCAGTGCTTCAATATCATACTAGTAGACTTATTTAATACGATGTTCTTAATTAATTATTTTATGATCCAATTTCAACAATATTAACCTGATATGTTACTTGGTTGGTTACTGAAAATGTTTCTTCTAGCCATTGTGGTAATTTTTCAACCCAGCATCAAGACACATGCATATATTGTATTTTACCTATTATTTTTTTTTCCTCAGTAACAATGGAACTCATTTAAATTCCCCTCCAAGATTCAATGTGGAGACGGTGGAGTACAGGAACAACAGCGACGGTGGAGTACAAAAACATCAGCTTTATTGTCTGGGAGGTTGGTGGTCAAGACAAGGTATATAATATGACTTCACATTCTTTTGTTTACTTTGAAAATTCCCCAACAGAATGGGTCAACTATGTTAGACCTGATAGAATAACAATATTTATTTATGACTTCATGGAAACTCTCAGAAAATCTGTTTCTGAACTATCTTATCTTATTTTGTTATATTATTGTTTGTGGTTTCATCTGAATCTTTAAGGCTTTTAACACTTTTTTTGTTTTTTGCAATTCTTGTATGTTTCCTTGAAGCTTAATGCTCTAAATAAGATTACTATTACGGGTGGTAATCTGTAAAATGGCTTGGTTATTTCAGATAAACTAGAATGCAATAACATTGTGAAAAATGGGCATTGTTATGTGTGTGCTTTCAAAACAGAAATAAAGGCAAATAGATAAGAATATGGATTATGACCACATTAAATGCTTGAAGCCCTAGGTTCAAGTCACTCATCAAAGATACACGTACACTGGAGAAAATGTATTAAATGTGTATAGGAGGATCATAGAAGCTCTGGACTTCCGTAGCCTGTGCTTGCTGATTCAATGAAACTGCTTGGCTTGCAACTGACTTCTTTCATTGCAGCCAGTTTATATCATAGTTGTGATTCAGTGGTAAAAGTTAGTTAAGTATCAAGCAATAGCCCTGGACAATGGCATTCAAGAACGTTCTTTCTCATTTTCTATTATGCCACCTGAGTTAATATTTCTTACCTTCATCTAGACCGTTTTGTTATACTGGGGAGAGTGATGCTACCATTTTGTTTACTGAGGAGAGTAATTTGCGGCATTTTCTGAAAGAAACAAGCATATGTTTAATATCTGTAACATTTGTTCAAGTTGCCTCGGTGCTAACTAAGAAGTCAGAGTCCTTCCAAAATCATAGCTACACCTATGTTGCTTGGACTCGAGTGCAAGAGCCAGATCTCTCTCTCTTCTTTTTATTTTATTTTTCTTTTTTTCCCCCCTAAATCTATGAAATGGGGATACGGCTAAAGAAATCTAAAATACATCATAAATCATTTCAAACACAATACCAAAATAAGAAAAATGATATAAAAATAATCCTCTTTTGACTTAAACGATCTGAAAAAGATCCCATACACTTATCTTTTGGAGAATCGGAATAGGGAGAGCTATACGAATAATGCTGGCTGTACCGAAAGAGGCTCACAGGGACTTTACAGAAATTTTGAAAAATGCTGAGCTGGCTGGGTCACACTTTTTCTTGTTCGTTGACTTCGTCCCTTTTTTGTCATTAATAGAAAAAATAACAAATAACATGCCTTTTTCTTCAGAACAGGGACGAACAAAAGCGGGAAAACTTCTGTATTTCTGCCATTTCTCATTGCCGCCATTTTCTTCAGTAATGCCTTCTTTACGGGAAATTGCATATTTGTGTGGTTAGAAGTCCTCTCCGTCGATGACAAAGCAACCGACGCTGCACCTTGGGGGAAAACCCTCCTCATTTTTGATTTTTTCCCATTACATTCCAATATTTGGCAGCCTATCCTTTCGTTCGACGGCCGACTACAGTATACGATGATGTTGAACTACTGGAGTCGGGTTTTATAGGGTTCGCGTGTACCCACAAAGGGTTCGGTCTTCGTTGGTAGCCATCGAAATGACGAAGCATTTACCTAAAATTGGGACGCAAGGAACAGAACCTTTTTAGGCCTATAACATGTGGGAGCTATCACCATTTTGGACCAACTTTCTGGTACTCAGTAAGTAGAAAATGTAATGATCTGAGTTTTGATTTTTGAAATTTCACTTTTCTTGAAGATTTTTTCTGCTTAATTCAAATAAGACTACCCGGTAAGAAATAAATTATAGAAAAAATGAGTTTTGATGTTACTTGCCAAGGGAAACTGTTAATATTATATCTAACCTACTTCAACATGGTTGATGTATTGTCAAATATGTCTAGATCGATAGCAATTACACAATCTGTTTAGGTTTTACAATAAAAAAATTATCACTTCCATAACAATTTCAAGTTTGAGTATTAATTTGTTTTAGGATGGGAAGATAAGTCATAATGCAATGTAGTAAAAAATAGTAAACATAAACGTATTATCTTTAGATTAATAATAAATTTGCCGGATTCTATCACCATTTTATTTATATTCAATTTGGGAGCTGTTGAAGGTACCCGTGTTCGGAACATTCAGTTTTTATTGTTTAGGTCGATCTTCAATCTCAATTTCAAATTTTGTGCTTACTTTTTTTTTGATCTATTATTTACTTAGTTTCCCAACATTCAACTTCATCTCTTACCCAAAAATGAACATATTACGAAATGATTTCTAAGTATAACGTAACATCCTGCCCGGAATTAATGAATTAGTTTCCTGTCATCATCTTTACCAGTTTTTCCTACCTTTTAAATATTACATTAATATAGATTGGACTTGTCATAACATTACATATTTTTTTCTTGCAGCATAGGAAATTATGGAAATTGGAAATGACGAACTTGTTTCAGAATTTGGCAATGAGGAACTTCTTCTAGAATTCAATAATGATAATGTTACCGAGAATGTTGTCGAGGTAGAAGACGAAATACTAGGACAAAATGGGCCGACTCTACCAGAGGTGGGTATGATGTTCAACGACGATAAAGAAGTGTATGACTTTTACAAAAGGTATGCCTATGATGTAGGTTTTCTAGTTCGAAAAAGAAACTCAAAATAGGGGGACGACGGACTGTTGAAATATGCGACCTTCACATGTAGTCGTGAAGGTCGAAGAACAAGTAATGCAAGTGGCTCTTTAAATCCATAACCAATCAGTCAAACAGATTGTAAAGCAAGGATCTCTGCTTCTTCGGATAGTCATGGAATGTGGAGAATTAATACTGTCCACCTTGACCATAACCATAGAACTAGCCCTTCCAAGTCTAGGTTGTACCGATACAACAGAGAGTTGAGTGCAACTGTGAAACGGAAACTTGAAGTGAATGATTTTACAGGAATTTCGTTACATAAAGTTTCAACTCCGTAGTTGTTGAAGCGGGTGGATATGAGAATATGACGTGTCGAAAAGGACTGTCGTAATTATATTGAACAAGTGAGGCAATTGCGACTTGGGAAGGAGATGCGGCTGCAATACAAAGTTATTTTTCAAAAATGCAAGCACGATGCTCAGGTTTTTACTTCAGTATGGATGTAGACGACGAGTTTTGCCCAAAGAACGTGTTTTGGTCCGATAATAGGTGTAGGCAAGCATATATGGAGTTTGGGGATGTTGTCATATTTGATACAACTTATCTCACTAACAAGTATGACATGCCATTCGTACCTTTTGTTGGTGTAAATTATCACGGTCAATCAACTTTGTTCGGTTGTGGATTGTTATCGAACGAGGACACTGATACCTTTGTCTGGCTGTTCAAGACATGGCTTGAGTGCATGCATGGTAGAATTCCTCGTGGAATAATTACTGATTAAGATAGGGCCATGCAAAATGCTACTGAGATTATTTTCCCAGATACAAAGCATAGGTGGTGTTTGTGACACATTTTGAAGAAGTTGCCGGAGAAGTTTGGGTACCATGTTGATAAGGTTTCCATATTTTCGGCTATACATCAGTTGGTGTATGATTCACAGAATATTGAAGAATTTGAATTAGGTTAGAAAGAGATGATCGAGACATATGAGTTGATAGATAATGAATGGTTGTCGGGGTTGTATGTTAATAGAGGTCGTTGGGTACCTTGCTTATTGAAAGCGACTTTTGGGGGAGGGGATGTCCACAACTCAGCGAAGTGAGAGTATGAATGCTTTCTTCGACGGTTATGTCCATTCGAAAACCTCTCTGAAGCAGTTTGTGGAACAATATGAAAGAGCACTCAGAAGTAAGGTCGAAAAGGAGTTCCAAGCTGATTTCAAGTCATACCCACAAACTGTACCGTGTGCCACGAATTATGAAATCGAAAGGCATTTTCAATCAGTGTATACTATTTCAAAATTCAAAGAAGTCCAAGAAGAATTCAAGGGTAAGGTATATTGTGATCACATATTTGAAAATGAGGGATCTTCAGGGACCACGTATGAGGTATGTGAGGATGTCCTCTATTATGAGCAGCGGAAAAAGAAATTTTTTTGTCTCATTTGAGAGAGCGACATCTGAGTTTAGATGTAGCTGCCACTTGTTCGAATTTCGAGGCATTGTTTGTAGACATGCAATTGTGGTGTTGATTCATAATGATGTCACACAGTTGCCTGAGCCTTACACATTACGAAGGTGGAGGAAAGTGTTAGCAGAGCATACACAAGAGTTGCAATGAATTACGATGGTCTAGTCAGTACCCCTGAACAGTTGAGGTATGACAGTATGTGTAAAGCTTTTGCGGAGGTAGCTGACCTTGCTGTAGATGATGAGTGTTGGACACGTGTCATATTGGACTGGATAAAAGTACAAGCGAATAAGCTGAAGTCTACAAAGTCGTGTATTGCAAGTAATATCGTTTCTCATTGTACTCCTTCACAAATTGCTGCAACCAACAACATATTGGATCCCAATGTTGCAAAGAAAAAGGGGGCACCTAGTGACTTCGGAGAAAGAGTCCGTTGGAGTTAAATAAATCAGGGGTTTGTTCGTCTTTCCACGTCTATATTCTTCTACGGCCATGAATCGCATGTTCTAATTTCATTATATTCTACATGCAGGCAAGTTCGACGACGAGCAAGGGGAAGAGGTCGAGACAAAGGCACAGTAATACTGTGGAGGCTGCACCTGAATTTGTAGCGTCGCAAGAACAATATTCAACGCAAACACCATTCTCTTATTCACAACTATTGTTGGTGAGTACTATAATATAATTTAACTATTTGTTTTAGGTGTTATTTACGTTCTTTGTTTATGTAGGGCGATGCCGAAAGCTTTGTCTGTACACAACCCTTGCCAACATCGGATGCACTCCCTCCATTGCCAACAAGTGTTATATTCCGCCCACAAGGTGATAAAGAGGTTAATTTACTACATTTCTATATGACTTCTTCAAATACATGTACTAATTTTTCTACTATTCGACAGGTCATCCATTTCCTTACTACTATATGCCTATGACGCCACAAGATGGTCCAACCTTATAAATGTGAACAATAGTCTGCAGTAAAAAATTTTGAGCATATGCTACATCTTTGCCACCAATCATTTTGCATAACGAATGATGATAAGAAAGACATGGATGCAATCATCAGCTCTCAAGTCCTACGAAATAGTAGTCCGCATTTTTGTTGCACTAGTAAGTGAGGGAATTGTGTTATTAATTTCATTGCTGCATTTACTTTATCTTTAATTTATAGTATCGGACATTTTTCATCAGTGTGTGTTGAATGGGAGTATGCATTAGTAAGCAAGATTAGAGGTAGAATTAGAGCCACTTGGATGCTTCTGTATCCCATATTTATGTAGTAACTATGCAAGGAATGCTTTTCACTATACTCAATTTTAATTAGTTTGGATTACTAGCACAACAATGTTTATAATTTCGGGTAGAATTACAAAATGGTGGGTTTACAGGAAGATTGTTGAGATCCAGAACGTGGATGATTTGGGCAAGTTCAACGGTGTTGAAGCTCCTAATGCCCCAAAACAGTGAGGGCTCCAAAAGCTCTCGATTGAGTGCAAAGAAGCTCGCCGACATCTCATGAAGATACAAAAGTGATGAGAGAAATAGAGAAGTGTGGATGCAGAGAGGCAGTATGAGCGATGAAGTGAATTAATGAGAGAAATTAAGTGCTGCTCCAAATTAGTAAGGAATATTTGGCGTGTTTTACAATAATTTTGTGCTAGTGTTGCATTATGGCAGAACTTAATCCTTTTTTTTCTCCTTCCACATTAATGTAATTGTGGTATCATTTCAAGAATTTACTGTCTAGTTTAGTGGAGGTTGGTGGCGGTGCCGATGGTTGTGGGTAGTGGGTTCCAGCTTTATAATTATTATTGTTATTATTATTTTATTTTTTTGGGTAAATGTCATTTTTAATTTTTAAATATACCGATCAAGTGGGTTTGTCTAATGGGTATGACATGATAACCATTTTAGCTTTGATGTCTAGAAAAACTCGATCGTTCCCTGTCCAAATAGATTGTATCGAATCAATTTAGTCTCATGTATGGAACACGAATTTGAGACCAGGTTTATGCTTTCGTTATAGAATTAAGAAAGAAAGATATTTGTCGTGAATGAGGCTACATTACCTGGAGGTAGATTGGTAAGGTGGGTTCAGTTTGAATTTTCTTCTTATGCATGCCAGCCTCAAGATCTTCAACTGTAGTTATAATTTTTAGCATAATGTATTATACAATACACAAAATACAATTGATGGTGCTAAATCTTTACAGTAAATATTTACAGATTGAGACACAATTGTCTAAAAAAATTGGAGATGAATTTACAAATGACGTGAAAACTTCAATACGTTTGCTACTACTTAGCCTTCTTTTTTCGTCACATGTTAGACGCCATGTGCGGGTTATAAATGGGCATCATTAAAATCTAATCTTAAGAGGAGTATAAATGGTATATTTAATTGGCTAAGAATCTCAATTGTGTGAATTAGAACGAAGTCTCTAAAGTGTCCGACAGAAAAAAAAAAGAATTAAGTTTTTGAAATGATACCAAAATTAGATTTATGCAAATGTATACCTAAAGATGCCGAGAAAAACAACTTTTCGTCAAGTGCTCAATGACGTATATTTCCAATTCGAATTATCTCGATCGTTCCACTAATTTCATTGTTGCTAACATACATCGCTTATGTCTACCATTCATCGTTTACGAACAAACATATAGACTCACAAAATGTAATGAAGAAACATAACATGCATTTAACATAAATTCTAATGGCATACAAAATATATAGTAGCGCTACACAAGTCTTTAAATTACATATATAACTCTAACAACCCATTGACTAAAATACTAATAATCAAGCCAGTCCTTTTGGTTTTCCATCCAATTCCAAGCATCATTTTCCCTTGCGGAATGTCACTTGTAGTAGTGACACCTCGACGTTTCGTGTCTCAATTATTCGGGCTAGAGTTTCGAGCATGCTAGGCAAATCTTGAACTTCTTCATTCCACAAGTCTTGAACTTTCTCATTCCCTGCAATAGTTATCACTTCGTTGACGTCACTACATTGTTCACTTGATTTTCCTTCATCTACCCAATCGAAATATCCACAATTGTTACTGTAAGTGTTGAATAATCGCCCTTTGTTACGTGTCTTTTTTTCAACCTCAAAGCATTTCTAAAATTCGTGTGGACACCATGGGCAACGACGTTTTCTCCTGCACTCCCAGAATGAGTACCATTTGCTTCGACAACTGTGACATATTCCGACATTCCTTCCTCTCATGCTGAGATGGTCGACAACTATACAAATAAAATTCTTAACTCATGTAATAAACTGTAATCACTAACATAAATATTGGCACCATAATTAAATTGCCATGTCTACGATTATGAGTTACAACCACCTCATTAAGACAACTCTGCTTTTATAGGCTATAATTTACAAGGTGATTGAAGATAAATAAGGTGAATGACGATTCAAGGGTTGATCATTGAAGTCTGGGCAACAACGATGAAGGAATTTGAAGGCACATCTACAACAAAAAACTACCAAGCTAAAGAAATAACAAGTGAAATTGAAAAATTAAAAACATAATACAGTATGCAGAAGAATTTCACAGACCACGGCATATTGCAGAACTTAGCACGTTCAATCTGTCAATCCCATTTCGTCTTCAATTTCAAATATTTCAATCCCTTAATTTACAAATCTATAACAATAATTGATTTCTCTAATCATTCCCTGTGTTCTTCAACTTTTAATCACACAAACAATAAATAACCATTTAAATCCTTTCATTCTTTTTGGCAAAGTGTTATTTACAGTTTAATTCGGTGAACTCATGGCTGTTCAATAAATTTCTTCCTACAATCAGATATTACATGTGAAGCACATACCTCATATGTATAGACGAAATCTAGTATCTTCTTCAATTGGGCGTCGTGGTTGCTTCGCGGCGGTCAAAGATCAGAGCAAGGTTTGAACTTCTCTGATGTCCACAACATCCAGCACGAGTCACACTTTTTCTTCTTCGTTGACTTCGTTGCTGGGCCGGAGAAGGATCTGATTCCGGTTGCGAGCCCGTCATCGTCAGTGAGGGAAGGTGGTGATGGGAATGAAGAGGTTGGGAAGGGTTTTGTTTCGATTAGGGCGATTTTCAGAGAAGATTAAAGGGCTGCCTTTGTGGTATGTCTGAATACCCGTTCTTCTTTTCTCTTTTTTTTAAGTTATTGTTGCCACGTCATATGTAAAATTTCTGTGAACGAGTATTCTGTATGCCAAGCAGAACTGGAGCTACACTACCATCTTTGAATAGTCAAATGTACTTTTTTTAAAATCCTATTGCCTGCAATTTACTTAATTTTAGTACCAATAATGCTAGGGGAACAGGGATGGGAAACAGGGTGGTAACAGGGTTTTAAATTTCTTAGACGTGGCAACTTGTATTTAAAAAATGAATAAATAAAAAAAATAACTTTTTCCAGTAAAGTGGAGGGAAATGGGCTTGCACGTGCATGTGTGGTCTAAAAAGTGGAAAACATTATTTGCCCTTTTTGTATTGCTTTTCCCCAGCAGCTCAACGTCCTAAAGGAAAATTCGCCAGTTGTTCAACGTATCTCAAATCCCCAGGAAGGAAAACTCATCGGTAGCTACTCCTCCGAACCTGTTCTGAAATTCCAATCAGTTTCTTCTCCGACCACGTTAACTTCTAGTCCGTTCTGAAGGATAGAATAAAGTTGGGTATGTTTAAAACCATTTTTTAAGCCATCACATTCTGAAGCATAGAATTAAACCATTTTTTTTCTATTTCGAGTATGTTAAAATATAAGAAAATAAAGAGGAATGTTTACAACTAAACTTGTATGTTGGGTATTCAATTTTGGAGGAGCCGGGTTTCAGCTTTTAGAATTGATTGTGATTACAAATTGATATTAAAATTTAAGATGGTTTTTTCTTTCATTAGGGATAGGTAGAAGATGTATAAAGGTAATCAATCGACGAAAAGCAACTTTGATTATTTTTCCAGTAAACTACATGTTGGACTATGGGGGCAAAGTCGGGGGAACGAATTACAAATTTCATTTGTTTTCCTACAATTACTATCCTTGTATTATTATGGATTCCTAAATGTGTTCGTGTATGTTATTACAGTAGTGTCGAAATTATGGATGAAGTGCAAAATGAGCATGTCGATCTTATAGCATAATCCAACGCCGAGAACATCACGAACTCTGTTAACATAGTGGAAGGTGTAACCTCAATGGGAGATGGAGTGAGTGTGCCTGCGGTCAGAATGGAGTTTAAGGATGTGACAGAAATGTTTGATTTCTACAAAAAATATGCTTATGTCGTCAGTTTTTTGATGAAGAAAAGGAATTCAAAAAAGGGGGATGATGGAGAGATGAGATATGTAACGTTGACTTGTGGCCGTGAATGCCAAAGAATTAGTAAGACTAGCGATTCTTTGAAATCACAACCAACAATTCGGATGGGTTGTAAAGCAAGGATATCAGCATCTTTAGATATATATGAAGTCTGGAGGATTAACACGGTCTACCTCAAGCACAATCACGAAACTAGTCCTTCAAAGTCCAGGTTATATTTCGTGAATTGAGTGCACATGTGAAACGCAAACTTCTAGTTAATGATTTGGAGGGAATTCCTTTACAT